ACAAAAAGCCAACACAAACACACACAAACACCCCCTCCCCCTCCCCCCAATTTAATCAGATCTGAGGTGCCTCACTGTTTCTCAGCAATGCTGTTTTGCTGCCTTGGAGGTAGGGGCCAGGTCTCCTGAGTCTCAGGAAAAGAAAGGGTGAGGTAGGTGCAGAGGCAGTAGTGGTGCAGTTATTAAAAGGAACAAGGTAAACTTCTCCCTAAGCCAAATTTTTAATCAAAGCAATAAGGATGAACAAGATCTGTGTGGTGTATGTCAAAACAATAGCTCTGTGCATAAGCTGCTAATTAATGCTCATGCATGAGTCTGGAAAAGTAATTACCAGTCAGAGTGGATTATTTATATTACTTTGTAGGGCTTTTGATAATTTGTCTCGATTTTGATTAATGTTGAATCTTTAGTACAGTTCTTTTTTGCAGATGCTAGCTGGATGTGTTTGGTATGTAAGTGTGCATATACTGGAGATTAATTGTTAAAAATTAACAACCAAAATGAGACAGTAACATTGTTCTGGCAAAGTACAGGGTCACTTTTATCTACCAAACTGAAATTTGTGGGGTTAAAAGTCTGGAATATTTCTTCAGTTCTTGAGATGGATTCTGGAGAAACTCGTACCACTTTTGCCCACAGCAAAATCTCTTTGTGACAGTTGGACTAGCTGACCACTGTAGGACCCTTCCAACTGAAACAGTCTAATCTGTTTATTCAGTGCATCTTGTAGAGGAAACACTGGAATTTGCATGGATCTTACTTTGTTCTGAAAAGTGTATGGAAAAACTGATCTGAGGAATGTCCCTAAGTTCGCATTATGTCATCTTGTTTCTAAAAGAGGTTCCCAAATAACAACTAGCAGAAAGCAAAGTTTTATTTAGTTCTTAACCTGTTGACAGGAGATGAAAACAACCTAGGTTATGCATTCTTGGCCAGATCCCTACAGTTTGTCCTCAAATACTTAAACAGTATTTTAATCTCATTCATACATTTATTTTGCTTGGTAGTCATCTTGCCTTTGTTACTTACCTTCCTTTCCTTTTGGCTAAGTCTAGGTAAGTTAATTGCTATCACTTGGTACAACTCAAAGTGTTAAGAGCAAGAGATAGCATGTGTCGTAACAGGTGATTGAAAATCTGGCCATGCTTGTGGTTAAGGGAGTAGCTGAGGGTGTTGCTTTCCTCCTTTCTGCTTCTACGCCCCTATAAGATAAAGGTAATTTCTGGCTCAGAGTAAACAGCAGGGAGTTCCAGCCTTCACCTGACAGGGTTTTATTATGAGGTTGGTTCAGTACTTCAGTCAGCTGCCACCTGGCATAGTATTGGGATACTTTATTTCCTCAAAGACTTGTTTTCTCTTCTGCTGTAGAAAAAAAAATGGGTTTTTTTCAGTTGGTAATATACAGTAATTGAATTATGGAGTACAGCAAAAGCATGATAAATCTTGTTTAGTCTATAATAATTTCAATCAAGATTCAGAGCAAAGAATGGTGTAACTTCCGTAGTTTTGGTCATGGTGGTTGTGAGATGACTGCTTGGGATCTATACTTCCACAATTGGACTAAAACCAAAATCAAGACATGCACTGTCTTAACTGCTTCATTGAAGAATTCTGTTCTCTGTATTAAGTTGCAAAAGAGACTGTTACTTTGACTAAAGGAGCAAGAAGTGGAGAGTGGGGGGAGTAAGTCTCTTTTAATAAAATTTTTGTTTATGAATAAAATGTTATAAAAGTCATTACTGGCTATTAAGGCCTGCAGTTGCTATAATAAATTTCAGTCTCTTACAGAATTCAGGATGAACATTTAGCTTCTTCCAAGATGTCAACTGCTCTTAATTTGAAATTGAAAAAGCCCCAAAGCAGGGGACAGAGTCTGCAGAAGTGGTCAGTCAGTAGTATCATTTGTAGATGCAGGTAGTATTTGCTGTTTTTTGTCTATCCAACTAGTTCAATTTAAGAATTGCTCTGAAGTTTGGAAAATTTTTGTGAAGGTTTGAAGTGCAGGAAAGGTTAAAAACAAAACCTCCCTGAAATGCTAAGTGAAGTTGTTAATGAGACAGGAAATCCTGAGACTAAGGTCTCTAATTGTGTATGTGAATGCACGAAAATTTGGAGAGCCTTGCCAAGTAGGATTTTCTATTTTGATTTCAGGGTGGTAAGAAAAAAAAAATTGTCTTTGTCAAGGGCAGTTCATGTTGTAAAGACCACTGAAAGTCTTAATCTTCTTCTTACAATTACTCTTAAACATTGTATGATATAAGTATTCTAAAATGTGGAGGGATGCTGTCTGAAACAATTCTGTTGATGAAAATTCTTTACAAATTTGTTTTTTATATAGAACAACTTTAAGTTTACTTTCTTCTGTATTCGGCACGCTAAGGAAGTTTTAATACATTTAATTTGAAGTGATGCCCTTGTGCAATATAGATTCCAATTTCCATCTACATACAAGGAGAGATATCATAATTCAAGATAATCTATTAAGATTGATAATTTCAGTGTAATTAAAATGTACAATACAGGCATTCAATACAATAAATGTATGAAATAACATATACACAGCTTCAATAAATATTGAGATATTCTGTTTTCATTTAGAAAAAATTATTCTGATACATTGGCAATAATTAATCTTTTGGAAAATTAAATCACATTTAGGAAATTGAAGCTACAAATACAGTGTAAGGTCAAGATTAATTTTAAAATTTTTAAGTCTGTTTCTCATTTAATCATTTAAATGATAATACAATTGGTATTTTAAGATTAAAGCAATCAAATCTGAAGTGCCTTTTAGAAAATAATAGACTTTCTATTTCTGGATTTTATTTTTTAATGGGAAGTCTCCATAGCAACACTTGCCCAGCTGATTGCCTTTGTTCTTTAAAGGGGAAAAAAAAAATTCCTGATGGAATTTACCTATTTCCAGGTTCCTGCTTTCTTGTTTAGGGTTTTGATTGCTGAACTGAAAAATTCTGCAGTATTAAATTTTAGGTTCTTCTGTTGCTCTTGTAAACAAACTTCCCCCGTAACATTTTCTCCAGGAAAGATTTAACTTCTTTGAGTTAAGTGGGCTGGGCTATCTTCCATGCCTGTTGTCATAGCTGGAATATCTGCAGTGATCTGAGATATTTTTCGTAACCCACTGGTGACCCATGACTAAATGAGAAGATGCTAAGCTTACTCTTACTCAATGTCTCTTTGCTTATACATAGAAAGATTGCAATTTCCCTTGAAGCTGTAATACTACCTTTGGAGAATAATGAGTAAAACATTAGTTTCCAAGATGCAAAATCTTGCACAGAAATACCAGTTCTTGTAATACTTCCCTATCCTGTTGCCTGGTTCTTTATTGCTACATATGGCTTCAACCTACCTATATAAAGTTATGTCAAATATAGAAACATTAAAAATAGGTATTGTCCAATCAGCTTCCTCATTAATTCCTTTTTTATCAAAGGAAAACTCAAACATTTAAGCTCTACTTCATAAATGAGCCCTCTAATTACAGGTTGAGTCACCATCCCTGGAGGTGTTTGGATGTGGTGTTGGTGGATATGGTTTAGGGGAGAACTTTGTAGAGTAGGCATGATGGTTGGACTTGGTGATCCCAAGGGTCTTTTCCAACCTGAATAGTTCTATGATTCTATACTGTTGACAAATACATAGTTGGTGCTTTTTCCTTTTCATGTATCTAATGAAGGATATGCCTAATGGTACTTCTTTTATGCAACTGTTATATAATCAGAAAATACATACAGCACAAAAGTCACCAGATAATTTTTCATATGATTTAAAAAGTTTATTAAGATTTTATAACAGACTTGAAAACTACAAAATTTTGGTATAACATGTCAAGCACTTCCTATTTCAACCATTAAGATCCCACTTTTGATGAAATGGCAGTACCAAGATGGTCTGTAACTCCTTTGCTTCCCACAAGAAAGTTTAATGTATTAGTCTGAAGATCAGAAGAAGAGCAAACACCCTATGAATGCAGCTCTGATATTTTCAGGGCTTACACTTTATTCAACTTGGAAGGCCACTCCCTTTTCTGCTGTAAATTTAAGGACTGCAGCAGAACCAGAGATGGGTCCACACTGACTCTTGCTGTTGGTATATAAACAAAACAAGTCTTACTGGGGAAGTCTGAGACACAATCTATTTGCAAACTGTATTGTTAATGCAAGTGATGTGTGCCTGGAAAATGCAGCAGAGGTCTCAGGCTGTAGTTTCACAGCAGTTTTAATCTATCCAAACTGGTAGGACTGAGTTTTGATCCCTCTAATGCCTCTGGTAGTGTATGTGCAATTGTTACATGAGCTACTTCAGCTCATTAAAGCAACAGAAAGTCAGCTACTCTTGGATTTGGGTAGGCTTCTGCTGTGTTAATGAACTGAAGTAGGTCACTTGGGGTATCAAAGCCCAGGAAAGAGATGAGGTAATCATCCTAATGCCAGCTGCACATGCACAGATTTAGGCTTAATCTGTAAGGGAACCATAACCACAGTGAAGTGCCTTCCCTGTCTCATACTTTATAGAACTTCAGGTCAGTTTTATCTTTTTGTGCTAACGTGAGGAAAATCTGCAGTTTTTAACTCCATGGCTTCTATACTTCTGTTGTAAATAATGGAAGTTGTCTGAACCTGAAACATGAAGTGTGCATGAACCCTCTTAAGGATCAAAACCAAAGGAAATGTTAGCATTAGTCCAGGTGAGGTGGGTATACAGCAGAATTTCTTCTGTGTGGAAGAAGTGATGGTTTGCCATACTGGTTGGCTCCATAGAGAAGAGTATTAGTATTGCCATTAGGCAAGGGAGCACTTCTGTACCTCAGGCAGTAGAAATTAAAAAGCTGTCTAAAACAGCTGAAAGGACAGAGGTTTAGTCCCAACTCCTTTTATATATGCTGTTCATAACAGCTGTCCACATGTGTTGTACATGTGTTCATACTGATCCAGAAATAAAATCTGGATCTTACCCAGTGTATTAGAAACATTCATCTAGTACTCGTCATCACCTTCCAGGTCTTCCCCTGCAGTTGCAGCTTCCAGTGCAGCCAGAGCTGCTGCTACTTCTGCATCTTCCTCCTCAGCTTCTGCATTGGTGTCTTTTTGAGTGGCGTGTGTGGGTGCCTGTGCTACTTTGGTAACAGCCACAGCAGTGATACCACCTGGAGTGCCCTCACTCAAACTTGTGGAGTCTATTTTAAAAGGTTCAATACTGCTCTTCTTCATAAACGAAGGTGGGGTTACACAAAGATCTTGGACCTGTATTGCTGAAGGCCAGGTGTTTTGGTCTGAATGTGCACAATGGCCTGAAAAGCTATCTTTTTCAACACAGTTCCTGGTTTGATTGCCATTTTGGGGATAATCAATATCTGGCAGTTGTATGGGATTGTTTTGTGTCTCTGGTATTGCACTTCCTTTTGGAAAGATGCTGTCTTCTGTAGACTGGGAGTTCCCATCTTGAATACTGTTTGGCTCATTGCAGGCTGTCTTCCTCTGCCTGCCTGTCTCTAGGGCAAGTTCTTGGCCAGACCTATTTGATTTGGTGTAAAAGTCTCTATTGTTGGCTGAAGAAAACTCTGGCTGGATGGATGTTCCCAGTTCACTGGTTTCTTTCACTGGGTTTATGTTGGGATTGAGCATGGGGTGTGCTTCAGAGCAGGAGTTGCCACCATTGACTGCAACATCAGGCTTTGCAACACACTTCACGAGCCCATCCTCCTGAAAATCATTGCCTCCATGGTTCCAGAGAGTTTCGTTTGTGCTGTTTACCTGATTTTTATTTTCTGTGCTGTTTAACTCATCCTTCTGAAGTTCGTTTTTGTGTTTTTGACTTTCAGTATTCTCTTTGAATTTATTGCTGCCTTGCTCATTGTGTTTGTAGCTGTTTCCTTCATTAATGCATCCAGGCGATTGTACTTCTTCTGGATCAAAAATATAGCTGGAGTAAGGAAAATTTGTAGAGGAAATGTTAATTATGCTGTTAATCCTTTTTCTAATTGTCTGGATTAAGCTTAATATTTCGGCTAGAGATCTTGAGGAACTGATGTCATTAAACTTTAACTGGAATCCTGAGAGTGGGCTCCACTGAGTGGAAATTCTGAACTGTGCTGCAGGCTGCTGTCTCCCGGGACTGACAGTAACTAACCCCTGCAGTGAGATTCACCAGGAGCATAGGGGTTGTCAGAGAACCTTGTGCTGGGTTTTGCATATTTCCAGCTTTATTTTTTATATGCTCTGGGGGGTTGATTCAGCAATGAGTAGTCATCACATAGATTTTTAATTAATATGTCTTCATGTAGTTGCTAAAATATCTCCTTTTCCCTGGTGTTCTTCCTTTAGAGTCTTGGTTTGGTCCTTTTATTTTTATCCCCTCCTTTTTTCTTTCTTAATTTTTCTTCTTGCTCCTTACTTCTCCTCAACTGCTTCCAGAGTCTCTCTTTTCGTTATCTCCCCTCTTTCTCTCATAGCACTGGTTTTCTTGCCCACTTCCTTACCTGTTCTAGAGGTGTGGCCAAGGGAAGGAGTAACTGTCAAATGAAGCTGCAATGTTGGTTTCCTAAAACTAGCTAGCTTTCCTCTTCAGGAAGACTTTTACTGTGGGAATTGTTCCAACAACTGACTGCATATAAAAGCTATGATGAAAGCAAGGATCTGTAGTTAGTTTTTACTGCTTAGGAGAGAGGGAGCATCTGACAAAGTTTGCTCCTTGTTCAACAGAATTGAGAGAAGCTCAAGCTGCCTAAATAAGAAAAATCTTTGCTGTAGATGTGTTTTCAATGCCACACGTTTTTCCTGTGGCATAGAAATTGTAGCACTTTACCTCAATTACAGTAAAACAAATGGAAATAATAGGAAATCAGTATGCCTATGCTCTGGCATGACTTTAAAGACACTGTAGACTTCAGGAAATCTCCAACCTTGTAAACAGACTTGGTTTAAGCAACAAGTGTAGGGGAGCACAGACTCATGTTTTAATGCATTTATTTTATGCAGTCTAAGCAACTATTGTTCTGTTGTACCTTTGTATCATTTTGCAGCACCTGCACCCCATCTGGATTTTCTTTAATCTGAAAAGAGAGAGAGGGAAAGCAAGGGAGAGGGAAAATCAGTGAAGCATTGTAAAATTAATGTAAAATTTAATTGCATTAAAAATTATGCTCATGTTTAGAATGGATGCAGTGCAGTTCAACGTCTATCCAGATTACCATCTTGCATTGACAGTGGCCATTAGTTTAGGGAAAAATCTGGGGAAGAAATTAACAGTTCTTAAAAATATAGTGGTTTTCTCTCAGAGTATTTTCCTAAGCACGTTTATAATTTAGAGACTCCTAAGTCAGAGAGTAGTGTTGTGGGTTTGTTGGTTGGTTTGGTTTTATGCAGTATGTTGTATTTGTATTTTACTACAGTAAATTCTTCAGAGCCTAAGTAGAGCTAGCAGAGTGTTTGTGTTTGCTACATCTATATATTGCAGGCTTACTGTGTATGTCACTGCCTGGCTCAGTGAGACGCCAAGAGCTTTCTGTTGCGTGCTTCGTATGCAAAAGTCTTTTAATATGGGAAGACATAGTTTGTTAATTTGTGCCCATGAGAATTTTAATGTTCTGAATATAAAGTGAAGACAGATCTGAACATCCCAAAATCCTAGAAAAAAACATGGACTTGGGCTATGTTATTTCAAGCTAATCAACTCAGGACAGGTTGTTAATATGTTTTTGCCATTGTTATTCAGGCTCTCTTTTGATCTACAGCCTCACTTTTGCCATTGCCCAGGGACAGCAGATCACTTCCCATAAAGTAGAAATTGATGATGCAAGGTCAGGGTATTTTCTAGAGTAATTTATTCACAAAACACCAAAGGAAAGTAGTATTGATTTATTCTTACCAGGCCTTGCCCGAACTGCATGCCAGTGATTATGTTAGCAGAAATTACAATCAAAACTCTGTGTTACATGGGCTTAGTGTCTCACTGTTTTTCCCTCTAAAATCTGACCTCCTTTGGTGTCAGCAAAGAACAAAATGCCTGATGTCAAGCCTCGCATTCATAGAACCTGTGAGGGATTACAGTCATTTAGCAGCTGGTTTTAGCTAGGGAATAGATGCTTCTACCTATGCTTTTTGTCCTTGTCTGCAAGTGAACTGTTCTGGAGCAGAAACTTCTATCTGGAGTAGCCAGCTTGTAGCTCAGTGCTTTTTGGGATGGCTTATAAACCAGCTGCTTTTCTTCCTCTGTGTTGGCTGTGTTTCTCTCTGTTCCTTAAATGCCCTCTGCCTTCCACATCTCTGCTGATTTTGTGCTGCATTGTCACTTCCAACCCCTCAATAATATCATAGTAGGAATTCTCATATAGGGTTTTTCATCTGAAGGGGATGCAATAACTGGTGAGGTGCTTGTGTGTGTGTAGTGACCCTCCTTATGTGCAGTTACTCTACAGTACAAAGCCGTTTGTACAGGTTTGACTAGGTACGGGGCTTATTTGAGCTCTCTGGTATTGCCATCTTTTCCAGCCAAAGAAGAATTCTTAACATAATTGTTTTGATCATGCTAAAAGCTGAATTAGCTATAGCCCTTCTTTAGGTTAAAATTAATGTGAAACTGATTCAGTTGAGCTAAGCCCTGTGTGGACACTTTTTTGGTTTGACTAACATCTTTAGTTTTCGCTTAAACCTGCTTCTAAACTGAAGGAATTCTTGTTCTTTAAAGTTGACCAGCTGTTGATAAACTCTTAACTTCAGATCTCGTTATGCAGGTTACTACGTGTTAGATAAGTCACAGTATGATCTCTGTTCATGGGAAAAGATATGTAACTTATGTTAAGCCTTTTTCTATGCAGGATGTTACCATCCCTCATGCTTGCTATAAGCTGAAGAGTATGCAAATATTATTTCAACTCTGCTAAGTCATGATGACTTCAATTGCTGTCAGTTGTCATGTGAGCCCGCTGAAATGCCCACACAGCCTTTGGCTTTGCTTTAAAGTATGTAGGTTTGGTGAAACCAGTCTTGTATGCAGACCAGAGAACAGCTACATCTTCTAGCTGGGTGTGGGCACTTCAGGTCTGGCTGCTCCTGTTTAAAATTGTATCTGACAGATTTCTTACTCCAATTTAAAAATCACAAAAAATTATAAATAAGAGCACAAAGTCTTGCTCATGGACTGCTTGAAAGAGTCCAGCGCAGAGCTACAAAGATGATTAAGGGAGTGGAACATCTCCCTTATGAGGAAAGGCTGAGGGAGCTGGGTCTCTTTAGCTTGGAGAAAAGGAGACTGAGGGGTGACCTCATCAATGTTTACAAATATGTAAGGGGTGAGTGTCAGGGAGATGGAGTTAGGCTTTTCTCAGTGATGACCAGTGATAGGACAAGGGGTAATGGGTGTAAATTGGAACATAGGAGGTTCAAGGTGAATATCCGGAAAATTTTTTTTACTGTGAGAGTGACAGAGCACTGGAACAGGCTGCCCAGGGAGGTTGTGGAGTCTCCTTCACTGGAGACATTCAAAACCCACCTGGATGCATTCCTGTGTGATGTGCTTTAGGTGACCCTGCTCTGGCAGGGGGGTTGGACTAGATGATCTTTCGAGGTCCCTTCCAACCCCTAGGATTCTATGATTCTATGAGTTTTAACCATTGGGAAGAACTAATTGCAGCCTTTTATTCTGTTGTAAAGACACTTGTGATAAGCATAGAAGGCAATTATAAATGGAAATTACTGTTTTCATAGGAAGCACTTTCCTAGTTGTTGTTTGGGTTTTTTTAAGTTATGGTTACTGTTTGAATTATCTCTGCAGCTACTGTGTTAAGCTTTTCCACTGAGTGGTTACAACTAGATCTGTCCTCTGGCATGAATACACTATTATAAATGGAAAATACTTTGTATTATCTTATAAATTATTTCACATCCCTGAAAATAGGAATATGATGTTAGTGTCATTTGTCTGAACACTGGTTTGTTTTTTTTCCCCATGCTCTATATTTATAATAATCTTTCAAGTCAAGTTGGAAAATAATTCTGGGGAACAAATTTCTTTTAAGCAAGAAAAGGCATGCTTTAATCCTTTTATCTTTTATTAGATACCTTGCTTTAAAGACTTGTGTGTTGTGTGATGCTCGCAGTTCCATTAATGGTTAAGTAGTATTAATAAGCTCCTGTCTGGAGCAGTTTAAATCAAGCACATCCTGCAGACTTGCAACAAAAAAGGATGAGAGAGCCCAAGCAGCAGATAGTGATACCTTATCTGATACTGATTTTGGAAACATTGCATCCTTTTATGTTCAAACTTTTTTTTTGCATTTTTATAAAACAATGTTTCTGTTAGATATTCTGTCCTGTTAAATTGATTAGATAATCTCAGATAACCATAAGGTGATGTGGAATGCTCCCTTGCAGAACACCTGGGACCTAATGATCCCAGAGAAGACTGCCTGTCTAAAGTAGCAGTAAAATGCTTGGCCTTAACAATTAGATCCTTGGAATTAAGATCAAACTGCCATTAATCCTAGACATCATTCCTTCTCAGTCATGTAATTCCTGAAGGCCTGTAAATTTCTGTCACTGATTATTATGCAGTCACTCAATCCTAAACATTAGCGTATCATCTGGTATGAAAGCTCCACTAAAATGTTAAGTACAGATATTACTTTCTTATTTTAGACATGTGCTGGAACACTTGAAGCATTTACAGGAAGAAGATGGAGCTGTTCAGGTGACAGGAATGAAGGAGGTCTAGAATTATGTGGTTTTATTCTCCTTAATTTTGAACTTAAGCTTTCCAGCCTTGAGTAGGTGCTGAATCTTCTAAATTGTGTCTCTTAAGTCTGAACTTTTACCAGTTGCTACAAAATAACCAGGTTCTTGCAACATGAGAGAGTAGCATAGCATTGTGGTTTACATATTCAATGTCAGTGTTTGCCTCAGTTAAAGTCAGAATACTTTTCTTCTGTGGAAGAGATGGACGAGGCTCCAACTCAGTATGCGTTTCACCCAGCCAGCCCAGGAGAATTTTAGTTGATCATGCTAAAGCCAGTCTAGGTATAATGTCTTTGCAATGTATTGAATGAATGTTCACATAGAGTCCAGGAAGATCTGATGTTATGAAGGGTCTCTTTCTTCCTTCAAAGGAAAACTATGCGAAGCACAACTATTTTAAAATCAGTTGGAAAAAATCCTCCTATGGTTATTAAGGAGGTAGTAATTAGACCTAAACTGAGTAGACAAATACTGGAAAAGGGAGGCTGCTGAATATTTTTCTGGTGGCACCTGAGAAAAGAATGAAATGGGACTCTTCTTATAGTGTGAGACTTTGCTGAACATAACAAGAATAGTATCTGACAATGAAAACATAACCTTGCATTTCAAGCCGCAACGTGCTTCAAGCAAAGTCTGCTTTGCTTTATCAGATTTCAGAAGCCCAATGTATCTGATTTTAAATTATGTAATATAGCTTCTATCGTCAGTTTAAACTGAAGCTGTGCTATGAATAAACAAAAGGCAAATGAAAGTTAGTGTCAGGAAAAGGGAAGGAGAAATATTTTGGAGAAGTAAAAACAGCTTGACAAGCTTTCTCAATATTCTTGGAAGTTTACATAGAAACAGAAAAAGGCCAATCTTGGATTTGTTCATGGTGTGTTTTTTCTCCTGTCTTGCTATTATTCTTAAAAAATTATTTTTTTAAAAACCTGACCAGGAATGGAGGCAGAAAGCTGAGGGGAGAGCATGTTAAAATAGCTTTTGTAGTAGGTCTCAAATTGATGAAGTCTGGCTTCATGACTTTTGATCTGAGTCATTCTTTGTAAGACTGTTGGGTGGTGTAATTTCTGTTTGTTTTTCCTTCCCCACACCCTGGTGCTTTGTGCTTTTGCTGTTTATTTGCCTTTTCTCTGCCCTTCATCCTTTCTCACTCTAGATTAAAAAGTAAGGAGCTTGTTTTTTTCCTATGTGTGTGTTAGTTGGGCTGCTGAGACTGAATGATGCACTTCTCAGGGGCCTGGGACACCACTTTATACTCACTTTTTCCAGTGCAGGCACCTTGCAGACCAGACCCTGCTGGTGTCT